CAATGTCTTTTTAAATTCTATCCCTTAATATTTGGGAACCCAAGATAAGTCTACTTTTCTAATCCTTCAAGGCCCTCAATTTCTGGACTCCCTCTATTCCAGATTATTTCTATTTGCAAACTGGCCAGTTCTTTCTTGAAGTTGTCCTTCTCTGGGAATAACATACCAAACACAGACACGATCACTATGTACCAGCATACACCAGAACATGTGTTTGTTCTCCATATTTTACCCCTAGAGGTGGGAGATTAGCAGACATGTGATCTCCAGCCCTTGTTACATGTAACAGCTTTACCAAATATTCTGCCATGTCACAGTATGGATAACCAGCTTTCCAGCCTCCAGTGTCAGTTTTCTCCCTGCCTACTGCTGGACTGTTGAGCCAAAGCAAATATTTTGAGTTCCTGTTAGGGTATCAACTTATTTCTTATAACAATTCCTAAATTAGTTAGGACAGGTAAACCTCTACCATGGTAACAAATAAACTGTCAAAATCTCAAATTAAGTTTTATTTCTCATTAATGCAGAGTCCAGTGGGCCTTAGGAAACATCACTACAAACAAAGCTCGTGGAGGTGATAGAATTCCAGTTGAGCTATTTCAAATTCTGAAATATGATGCTGTGAAAGTGCTGCACTCATGCCAGCAAATTTGGAAAACTCAGCAGTGGCCACAGGACTGGAAAAGGTCAGTTTTCATTCCAATCCCAAAGAAAGGCAATGCCAAAGAATGCTCAAACTACCGCACAATTGCACTCATCTCACACGCTAGTAAAGTAATGCTCAAAATTCTCCAAGCCAGGCTTCAGCAGTACGTGAATGGTGAACTTCCAGATGTTCAAGCTGGTTTTAGAAAAGGCAGAGGAACAAGAGATCAAATTGCCAACATCCGCTGGATCATCAAAAAAGCAAGAGAGTTCCAGAAAAACATCTATTTCTGCTTTATTGACTATGCCAAAGCCTTTGACTGTGTGGATCACAATCAACTGTGGAAAATTCTGAAAGAGATGGGCATACCAGACCACCTGACCTGCCTCTTGAGAAACCTGTATGCAGGTCAGGAAGTAACAGAACTGGACATGGAACAACAGACTGGTTCCAAATAGGAAAAGGAGTACATCAAGGCTGTATATTGTCACCCTGCTTATTTAACTTATATGCAGAGTACATCATGAGAAACGCTGGGCTGGAGGAAGCACAAGCTGGAATCAAGGTTGCCGGGAGAAATATCAATAACCTCATAAGGGTGGATGACACCACCCTTATGTCAGAAAGTGAAGAACTAAAGAGCCTCTTGAAAGTGAAAGAGGAGAGTGAAAAAGTTGGCTTAAAGCTCAACATTCAGAAAACTAAGATCATGGCATCTGGTCCCATCACTTCTCATGGCAAATAGATGGGGAAACAGTGGAAACAGTGGCTGACTTTATTTTTCTGGGCTTCAAAATCACTGCAGATAGTGACTGCAGCCATTAAATTACAAGATGCTTACTCCTTGGAAGGAAAGTTATGACCAACCTAGACAGCATATTAAAAAGCAGAGACATTACTTTGTCAACAAAGGTCCATCTAGTCAAGGCTATGGTTTTTCCAGTGGTCATGTATGGATGTGAGAGTTGGACTATAAAGAAAGCTGAGCACCAAAGAATTGATGCTTTTGAACTGTGGTGTTGGAGAAGACTCTTGAGAGTCCGTTGGACAGCAAGGAGATCCAACCAGTCCATCCTAAAGGAGATCAGTCCTGGGTGTTCATTGAAAGGATTGATGTTAAGGCTGCCACTCCAATACTTTGGCCACCTGATGTGAAGAGTTGACTCATTTGAAAAGACTCTGATGCTGGGAAAGATTGAGGGCAGGAGGAAAAGGGGATGACAGAGGATGAGATGGTTGGATGGCCTCACCGACTCAATGGACATGGATTTGGGTGGACTCCGGGAACTGGTGATGGACAGGGAAACCTGGCGTGCTGCAGTTCATGGGGTCACAAAGAGTCAGACACGACTGAGCCACTGAACTGAACTGAACTGAACTGAATGCAGAGTCCCATGTAGATCAAATGGTCCATTCACAACTTGTAGCTATAAAATGTGGAAGACAGGGCCCCCAAGTTCACCATGGCAGGGGAAATGAGGACTGACTAGACACATGGAATGTGCCACATGCCAGGCCTGGAAGTGACACACAACACTTATATAAGAATCCTATTGGCCACAGTCCAGTCAAATTGTCCCATGAGAAGCTGAGGAATGCAGAGGAGCGCTTGAATATTTGGTGAACTCTAACAATTTCTGCTCCAGTAGGAAAGAGATTTTGTGTAGCTATTGTGATGACTAAATTAAAGCTGGGAAACATGGAAAAAGAAAGATGATTTAGGAGGCATTTGAGGTGGCCTGATCAGGATGTTCACGGTAGGAAAAAAAAAAAAAGTATATAACTGTGATATCTATTTTACTTTATTTTTTAGTTTTTATTTTATGTTGGAGCATAGTTTATTAACAATATTGTGTTAGTTTCAGGTTTACAACAAACTGATTCCATTATACATGTACCTATATCTATTATTTTTCAAATTCATTTCCCACTTAGGTTATTAGAGTATTGAACAACATTCCCTGTGCTATATAGCAGTGTGTACATATCAGTTCCAAACTCCCAATCTACTCATTCCCTCCGGTAACCATAAGTTCATTCTCTAAGTCTATTTGTGTTTCGTAAATAAGTTCATTTGTAGTTTTTTTTTAGATTTCACATGTAAGCAATATGTTTTGGAGGTGGAGACACAAAAGGAATGATTTGCTAATAGACTAGGTGTGAAAAGTGAAAGTGAAGTTGCTCAGTCGTGTCTGATTCTTTATGACCCCATGGACTGTAGCCTATCAGGCTTCTCCATCCATGGGATTTTTCAGGCAAGAGTACTGGAGCAGGTTGTCATTTCCTTCCCCAGGGGATCTTCCCAACCCAGGGATCAAACAACGGGTGTCCCACATTGCAGGCAGTCACTTTACCCTCTGAGTCACCGGGGAAGCCTTATGTGGACTAGGTGTAGTTAGAAGAAATGAGGCAGAAAAATGTAAAGATCAATAATGACTCTGAACATTTAAGCACTAATGTGAACAGTGATGCCATTTACTGAAATGGGGAAGACAGAAATGGAAGCAAGTAGAATGGGTTTAGGAACAAAACTATGACAAATCCAAGTGGAGTTGACCCACATACAATCTGATATATGAGACAGTAGCTCAAAGCAAATTTGAAGCAAAGGATATAAATTTAGAACTTTTCAGAACACATAGCTCATCAGAAATGTAACTACAGGATTCCTCCAGAAACCCTGAATAAGTTAACATGTTTGCAGTTTGTCACTTAATTGCTAGGTATATTTTGCAGTAAAATTTCCCAATATAAACTTAAGTATTCGTTCTACCTATCTTTTCCTTGAAATCTGGTCTGAGTTTCATACTTGGAAAGTGTTTTCCACATTGAAAGATTATAAAAATAGCTATTTATATGTTCTAGTACACTTGTGGGTCCTAAGAGAATGAGCTTTCATTTGCAAGATAGTTGACTTGGATAAGGTTATTATGTTGTTGTTCAGTTGCTCAGTTGAGTCCGACTCTTTGTGACCCCATGGACTGCGGCACACCAGGCTTCCCTGTCCTTCACCATCTCCTGGAGTTTGCTCAAAATCATGTCCATTGAGTTGGTGATGCCATTCAACCATCTCATCCTCTGTCATCCCCTTTTGTCTTCAATCTTCCCCAGCATCAGGCTCTTTTCTAATAAGTCAGCTCTTAGAATCAGGTGGCCAAAGTATTGGACCTTCAACTTCAGCATCAGTCCTTCCAAAGAATATTCAGAGTTGATTTCCTTTAGGATTGACTGGTTTGATCTCCTTGCTGTCCAAGGGACTCTCATGAGTCTTTTCCAGCACCACAATTCGAAAGCATCAATTCTTTGGTGCTCAACCTTCTTTATGGTACAACTCTCACATCTGTACATGACTATTGGAAAAACCATAGCTTTGACTATATAGACCTTTGTTGGCAAAGTGATGTCTACTTTTTAATAAGATATCTAGGTTTGTCATAGCTTTCCTTCCAAGGAGCAAGCATCTTTTAATTTTATGGCTGCAGTCACCATCTGCAGTGATTTTGAAGTCCAAGAAAATAAAGTCTGTCACTGTTTCCATGAGTACCTACATGTCAAAATTATCAAATTATATACTTTAAATATGTACAATTATGGCTTGTTAATTATAACTCAGTAACCTTTCACAGGTAACTCTGTCAATGGCCTTCAGGGTGGCCTTGTTAAAAGTAACATCCCAAGCTACCATGGAGCTGCCTTCGATAGAAAGCATTTCTGGTGACACTGGGTAACACCTCCCTTTTAGCCCTGTTTTAAACAATCTCCCCAAACTCTGCAGCAAATCCACTTTACTATCTTAGGCAAGTAACTTCCCCAGGTAGGCAGATACGTGAGGGACTAGAAATTGACACATGTTCACTACATTTTATTCCACACCCCTTTAGTGAGAATTTGGTTTGCATCTTGAGAGTTCAAAAATGAGAGACACAGTCCTTATTCTCAGGAATCTCACAATCCAGTTGGGAGACAAACACAACTAGATAGTGCAAAAGCAGGCTTATCCTGGAGTGAAAGGGACTGTGACCAGAGAAGGCAGGACCCTGATGAGAGGCTCTGCAGGAGCCAGGGACAATGTCTCGGTGTGCAATTCCTCTGTCTCCATATCTCCAAACACTTCCTAAAAGCCTATAACTTATAAAACCTCTGCATGCCCTCCCTGTGCCTGTAACAGATGCTTGATTGAGGTACCAGCCAACAGACTAATGTTCTGCATGGATTAACATTTACGTATCTGTCCAGTTCAGTGCCCCATCCATCTGCCCCCACTCCAGAGAGGCCAATAAAACCCTATTTCAAATTCATACTGCACAAAGTGTTCTTGACTCCTGGATCCACTGCCTCCAACTTCCCAAGGACCATGAGACTCCTGCTCCTGACTTTTACTGTCCTTGTGTTCCTACCACAAGTGACCCCAGGTAATCAGAACCCAGGGAAGCTGCAAAAACGGAGGTAGACTAGGTTCCAGTCCATGTAAATTTCCAATGTGGCATGGCACTCCCCCAACCTGAGTGGCTCTGTGGTCCCCATGTTGGCACCATGTCCCTGGCAAGGGTAGAACCTAAGGATAGGACAAGTTGTCTGCTGTAGACAGGGGTGACCCCAAACATCCAGAGTTGTTCTTGGCTCTGTGTCCCAAGTTGCTACCTAAGGAACCGGGTGGCAGCTTGACTCAGTTCAGTTGTCCTTCCAGTTTGTGCCAGCTCTTGAAAATAATTCCAAAAGTCCACTTTCCTGTGTTTTCCTGACCCCAAAAGTCCTGTTACAGCTTTAAATGAGTTTCTTTTTTTTCTTTTCATAGTCTGGAATTTGGCAAACAGGTCAGAAAGTATCTGCAGAGCTGTTATTCAAAAAATAGAACTGACTTTCATTCTCTCTTCTATGATAGAAGTCTAGGCTTTTAATAATTACTACTTTTAGATATAGAGAACAGACTGGTGGACACAGCAGAGGAAAGAGAAAGTGGGACAAATTGAGAGAGTAGCATTGAAATATATATATTACATACGTAAAATAGACAGCTAGTGGGAAGTTGCTGTGTAACACGGGAGCTCAACCCGGTGCATGTGTCAATCTAGAGGAATGAGATGGGGGTGGGGAGTGGGAGGGAGGTTCAACAGGGAGGGGGTATATGTACACTTATGGATGGTTCACGTTGTCATATGGCAGAAACAAACACAATATTGTAAAGCAATTATCTTCCAATTAAAAATAAAAATTTTAAATAAAAAAAAATAATTACTGCTTTATTAAGTATATCTAATGTCTGACCAAAACTTTGAAATTGTGACTGAAGGGGTTTTTTTTAATTAAATTATTTATTTTAACTGGAGGCTAATTACTTTACAATATTGGCGGTTTCTGCCATACATTGACATCAATCATGGACATGAATGAGTTTGAGTAAACTCCAGGAGTTGGTGATGGACAGGGAGGCCTGGCATGCTGTGATTCATGGGGTCGCAAAGAGTCGGACACGTCTGAGCAACTGAACTCAGCTGAACTGAACTGACATCAGTCAGCCATGGGTGTACATATGTCCCCCATCCTGAACCCCCCTCCACCTCCCTCCACATCCCATTCCTCACGGTCATCCCAGTGCACCGGTCCTGAGCACCCTGTCTCATGCATCGAACCTGGACTGGTGATCTATTTCGCATATGGTAATATACATGTTTCAAAGCTATTCTCTCAAATCATCCCATCCTTGCCTTCTCCCACAGAGTCCAAAAGTCTGTTCTTTACGTCTGTGTCTCTTTTGCTGTCTTTCATATAGGGTCATCATTACCACCTTTCTAAAATTCCATATATATGTGTTAATATACTGTATTGCTATTTTTCTTTCTGATTTACTTAACTCTGTATAATAGGCTCCAGTTTCATCCACCTCATTAGAACTGATTCAAATGCATCCTTTTCAATAACTGAATAATATTCCATTGTGTATATGTACCACAGCTTTCTTATCCATTCATCTGCCGATGGACATCTAGGTTGCTTCCATGTCCTGGCTATTGTAAACAGTGCTGCGATGAACATTGGGGTACACATGTCTCTTTCAATTCTGGTTTCCTCAGTGTGTATGCCCAGCAGTGGGATTGCTGGATCATATGGAAGTTCTATTTCCAGTTTGAAATTGTAACTGAAGAGTTTTTATACAAAGTACATTACTTTCTACTTTGTTGTATATCTCTCAAGATACATTTCAATGTATAAACAAAGCTTTATAAAAGTTAGTCTATATATTTATTTTTATTAAAAAAGCAAACACACTGTATACATAGTTATGTGGTGTTCATCTTTCATTAATAATATTTTGTGACCATCTTTCCCTGTCACCACCTAAAGATCTGCCTCATTCTTTGCAATGTTGTAAAATTCCACTGTGAGGTAAGCCATAATTGATGAACCGTTATTTGGGAATTTCCTAACTTTCTAATGAACACATCATGAACATACTTGTATACATATCTTTACATATTTGGACAAAAATTATACGAAATAGATTCCCTGAAATCAAATGACCTAGAAATCAAAAGGTAAGTGTGAAAATCTTATTCCATTAATTCCTCCTTTATATGCATAGGGGTGTTGAGACTAGGAAAGAGCGGTGAAAGCAATCCATAAATCTTGGAGACTTAGAGTACGTGGGAATTGAAGGAAATATTACATGTTCTGAGGTTTTAAGTTTGAGTGTTCTGGTAAGAGACATAAATTTAACACCATCCCTTTAGAAAGAATAGTTGAGATGATAAAGGAAGCATGAGGTCTTCACGTTTTATCTTGGACAGCCCCTATGTTTAAGAAATAAGAATAAAAATCAGTGACATTTATAGGAACAGGGAAATCCCTCTACCTCTCACCAACATTTTACAAGGGTCACCACAGCACCATAATCCCTCCAGTGCTCAGCGTTACTTTTATCTGAGTAATAACACTCTGTTGGGTTTTTATGGTTTGTTTTTTTTGCACTTCTCTTATCCTGTATATATCCAAATATTTGTGAACAGCCTGCTTTCAAAGACCTGCAAGACCCCGTGAGATCTCAACCTCCATTACATTTCTCCATTACTCTCCATTTAATTTATTCTACAGTCAGCATGACAACCTTATCTTCAAAACCTTTCTTCAAAAAAAACAAAAACTTTCTTCAAAAACTTTGAGATAAATCCTGCCTCTGGGCCTTTGTACTTGCAGCTTCCTCCGCCTGGGTACACTCTTCCTCCAATTAGTATCAAAAGCTCGCTTTCTCACTTCCTTCTCAATGAGGTCTTTTACTATACTACTTCTCTTCCAAACACATGCTTCCTATTCCACTTTCCTTGTTACAATGCTCTTCAGAATATTTTTTATCTATACCTAATGGCATCTTAAATAAAGAACATTTTACTTTCTTCTCTTACTTACAGTCTCATTGTTTCTCGAAAAGACAAATCTCCATGAGAGCAGAAAGCTTAGTTTATTTTGCTAACAGATATATCTTCCTGAACAGTGCCTTCAACGTTTGTTGGATAAATAAACAAGTTACATTTGTTGAATGAATAAACAGGTTCCACTTCTGTTAATGTGAACCGTGAACTTCCAAATGTTCAAGCTGGTTTTAGAAAAGGCAGAGGAACAAGAGATCAAATTGCCAACATCTGCTGGATCATCAAAAAAGCAAGAGAGTTCCAGAAAAACATCTATTTCTGCTTTATTGACTATGCCAAAGCCTTTGACTGTGTGGATCACAATCAACTGTGGAAAATTCTGAAAGAGATGGGCATACCAGACCACCTGACCTGCCTCTTGAGAAACCTGTATACAGGTCAGGAAGCAACAGTTAGAACTGGACATGGAACAACAGACTGATTCCAAATTGGGAAAGGAGTACATCAAGGCTGTATATTGTCACTCTGCTCATTTAACTTATATGCAGAGTACATCATGAGAAACGCTGGGCTGGAGGAAGCACAAACTGGAATCAATATTGCCGGGAGAAATATCAATAACCTTAGATATGCAAATGACCCCACCCTATGGCAGAAAGTGAAGAACAAAAGAGCCTCTTGATGAAAGTGAAAGAGGAGAGTGAGAAAGTTGGCTTAAAGCTCAACATTCAGAAAACTAAGATCATGGCATCTGGTCCCATCACTTCATGGCAAATAGATGGGGAAACAGTGGAAACAGTGGCTGACTTTATTTTTCTGGGCTCCAAAATCACTGCAGATGGTGATTGCAGCCATGAAATTATAAGATGCTTACTCCTTGGAAGGAAAGTTATGACCAATCTAGATAGCATATTAAAAAGCAGAGACACACTACAATATTGTAAAGTAATTAGCCTCCAACTAATAAAAATAAATGAAAAAATAAAAATAAAAAATAAAAAGCAGAGATATTACTTTGTCCACAAAGGTCCATCTAGTCAAGGCTATGGTTTTTCCAGTGGTCATGTATGGATGTGAGAGTTGGACTGTGAAGAAAGCTGAGCGCCGAAAAATTGATGCTTTTGAACTGTGGTGTTGGAGAAGACTCTTGAGAGTCCCTTGGACTGGAAGGAGATCCAACCAGTCCATCCTAAAGGAAATCAGTCCTGAATGTTCATTGGAAGGACTGGTGCTGAAGCTGAAACTCCAATACTTTGTCCACCTGATGAGAAGAACCAACTCTTTTGAAAAGACCCTGATGCTGGGCAAGATTGAAGGCAGGAGGAAAAGGGGACGACAGAGGATGAGATGGCATCACCGACTCAATGGACATGGGTTTGGGTGGCCTCCGGGAGTTGGTGATGGATAGGGAGGCCTGGCGTGCTGCGGTTCATGGGGTCGCAAAGAGTCGGACACGACTGAGCGACTGAACTGAACTGAACTGAACTTCTGTTAATTGCCTAGTTATATCCTTTGCTCATTGATTCTATTTGGCAGGTGATGCTTTTTTGTTGATAGGTAGATCTTTATCTATTTTTTTATATTATTCCCTAGTCAGTTTTAGTCACTGGGTATTATTCCTTATCCTGTCATCTACCTATCTATGAACTTTGCCCATTACATGTTCTTCAACTGAACAGAAAACTTAATTCTGGTCTAATCAAATTCAACAATATTCTGCCTTGTGAGTTGTGCTTGGTGATTTTCTTAAAGAAGTTTTTCCTCTTCTTAGGTCTCAAAGGAAATCTCTGATGTTATCTTCTAATAACTTTTCAGCCTTGCCTTTCACATTTAAATCTTTAAGCCACAAGATGGAAAGTGTAAATCCACTTTTATTTTTCTCATGGAGTTGACCAGTTTTCCCAATACTGTATGCTAAATAATGTATGCCTCTTCATTGACTCACAGTGTCATTGTTAGAGCGTATTAAGCTCTCCATGGATCTATTGCAAACTGTCTACTCTGTTCTATTGGTCTATTTGTTCTGGTGACAAGCTACTATGTATTTTTTATTACAATGGCTTGATAGGTTGCCAGTGTCTAGAAGGGCAAGATTTTGTCTTGTTTCTTTTTTAAAGTAATATTAGCTATTGGTAGCCTTTATTCTTCATTATAAATTTTAAAGTAAAATGATGAAGTTTCCCAAAAATCCCACTGGGATTTTGATGAGAATTTCATTAAATTTGTGGATAAATTTACAGGAAAGTAAATCTATATATTAATTGTCATCTCTTTCAAGATCACACTTTCTATTGTGGTTTTAAAATATATCCCATAGAGGTCTTAGATATTCCCAGTTTAAAACAAGATATTTCATGACTATGACATATATTTTATTATACTTTTTAGTCAGTTACTGTTGGTGTAGAAAAGTGCCATTGAGTCTTGTAAGTTGATATTGCATCTGACATAATTACTGAACTCCTGTTAATTGTAATAATTTGTTGGTTACTTTTTTATATTATAATCATGACTGCTAGAATGAATGACAGTTTTCTCACTTTCCTTTCAATCCTTATACTCTTGTTTGGTTTTGGTTTTTTCCTTAAAACAATAGCCAGGCCCCCCACTATTATTTCAAATAATGGTAGTAAGAGAAGAGTATCTTTGTTTTCCTGATCTCAGAGAGAATTAGTTTCTCCAATAGATAATGTTAGTTCTAGATTTGGTACATAACCTTCACCAAATTAAGGAAATCCCCATTACACTTGCTTTGCCTAGTTTTCATCATAAGTAAGCACTGAACTTTATCAAGTAATTTTTCTGTATAAAATAAAATAATTTTATTATTTATCTCAATTCTATATAGGTAGTGAATTTCACTGGAGGATTTCATAATGTTGGGTGGTAATTTTGCTTTTGGGGTTAAACTCTCCTTGATCATGTTGTATTTTAATACATTGCTGAATTCAGTTAACTAATACTTTATTTAGGATTTTTTAAGTCTATATCTAAAAAGAAAATAGACCTATTATTTTCTAGTTTGGGATTATTGTTGTCTCATAAAATGATCCAGACAGCTTTCCTTTCTCCCTTCACCTCTATTTTCTGGAACATTTTATACAAGATTAATACTTGGATCTTCTGTGAAATTAGTAGAACTCACCTTTCAGGTCATCCAGAATAATAGCTTTACTCACAATAGCTAAAAGGTGGAAGCAATCCAAATGTTCATTAATTGGTGAATAGATAAGTAAAATGAAGTACATATATGCAATGGAATATTATTCAGCTTGAAAAAGGAAAGGGGTTCTGACGCATGCTGCAGTGTGGATGAACATTGAAGACACAATGTTAAGTGAGATGTCAGTCGCAAAATGACAAATACAGTAGGATTCTACTCACATGAGATATTTAGAGTAGTCAGACTCATAAACACAAAAAACAAAATGACAGTTGCCAGGGGAGTGGGGGTGAGGGTTTTAATGGGGACAAAATTTCCACTGCAAGATGAAAAGTTTAGTGGGTGTATGTTGGTGATGGCAATACAACAAAGTGAATTATACCAGTGTGTGTGTGTGTGTGTGTGTGTGTGTGTGTGTGTGTGTGCGCGCGCGCGCGTGCGCAGGCAGGCGCACTTAGTCAGGTCCAACTCTGTGACCCTATGGACTGCTGTCTGCCCGTCTCCTCTGTCCATGGGATTCTCCAGGCAAGAATACTGGAGTGGGCTGCCATTTCCTCTTCCAGGGAGTCTTCCTGACCCAGGAGCCAAACTCGCGTCTCCTGAATTGCCAGGAGGATTCTTTACCACTGAGCCACCTAAGAAGCCCTGAATTATACCAAACTGTACTACTTTAAAATGCTTAAATTGATCAATTTTACATTATATGTATTTTACCAAAACTGTAAAAATCATCTAGGGCTGAGTCTTTGGGGAAGAAGAGTTTTTTCACTACCATGTCAATTTCCAAACACTTTTTGATTTATTGAAGTTTACATTTTCTTCCTAGGCCATCACTGGAATATTTTTAGAAATTTACACATTTCATCTAGGTTTTCAATTTTATTAGCATACAATTGTTGATCAGTCCTTTCTATTGTTTTTAATATGTTATATCTGGTTTTATTTCACCATTTCACCAGGGACATCATTTTTATTTTCCTCTTTTTTTTCTTGATTTTTCTTTCCAGTTTTCTGATTTCCTTAACTTCTAACTTTATCATTTCTGATTTTATTACTGCCCTTCTAATTGTTTTATTTTTATCATATTGTTTAATTTTCAAATACATGGGGTTTTTAATTCTAATTTTATTGCACTTGATTGGGAAACATATATTGTCTGATATTAAGCAAATAGAACTTATTAAGGTTTTTTTAATGGCCTGAAACCTTGCTACATAAGATGTAGTCCATGGACTAGCAGTACTGACATTATCTATAAGATTGTTAGAAAAGCAGAGACTCAGGTGTTTTCCCATCAACTGAAGTAAAAATTGCACTTTACCAAGACTTCTATGATTTGTATGAAAATTACAAAGTGTAAGAAGTACTGGCCTAAAATTTGAGCCAATGAAGCATCTCAATTAGGAGTATCTACACTGTTCTGAGATCCTATGTCTCAGTTGCTCAGTCGTGCCTGACTCTGCAACCCCATGAACTGTAGCCCTCTGGTCTCCTCTGTCCTGTCCCTCTGGTCTCCTACCTGGGATTTCCCTGATCACAATGCTGCAGTGGGTTGCCATTTGCTTCTCCAGGGGATCTTCCCAATCAAACCTGCATCTCCTACACTGGCAGGCAAGCTTTTTACCACCGAGCCACCGGGAAGGCCCATTCTAAGGGTCTAGTAATGTTTTATTTCTTAATCAGAATGCAGGTACATGGGTACTCATTTTATTATTTTTAAAGTACAGAGATATTTTATATACTTATTTGAATGTATATTTTGAATGCATTCAAAGAAATTTAGCCACGTGGGGTATGAGCAATGCAAATAACCCAATCACACTGACGACAGGATGAACTTGCTTTATGCAGATTGCTTCACACAAGCCCAGGGAACTTCATTACTAGTTCCAATTCCTTGTGACTAACAAGTTGCTTTTTATTTATGAGATGCAAGATGCATCTCTACATTCAGGAAAATTTTTTAGATGGGCAGATAGGAGGTTCAGAACAGATATTTTTAGAAACATGTTATTTACCAGGCCTGAGCTGGGAATCTTTCAAGTTGTTGGTTGCCAAATATACAGTCATGCTTGTAAAGTTGAGAGCCTCAAGCCTAAAATCAGTGATCTTTCCTTTTACTTTTCAGCCTATGGTGGTAGAAGAAAATGCTGGAACAACTCAGGGCACTGCAGGAAAAAATGCGCTGCTGATGAAGTAATAAAAGCAGTATGTAAGAATCATCAATCCTGCTGTGTTCCACGCCAAAGACTAGTGGTTTCGGTCAAGGAAACTATCACTTCTTCCCCAACCACGTATGGTTGGGAAGGAGAGGCTATGGATAGAATTGTATCAGTAGCACCTACTTCAACCTACTGGGAATAAAGAAGATTAAAAGTCTGACCCAGCCCTGAAAACCATATTTCTCTCCCATAAGTTCTTCAAAGCTCATGACTTCCTCTTGAGCATCACTCTCCCTATCTTCAAAGTGATAGCTCCAGTCATATAGATCAACGCACTGAAAAATATCACAGTCACCCTCCATCAATGTGTAATTTCTAGGCTGTGTAAAGAAGTCCCCCAAATTTCCAGCATTTCCAGTGGATAAACTCCTTGGTGCTTTTCTTGAAATTTCAAATTATTTCCACAAGTTTTAATCAATTTTTAGTGTTCCTAGTTTGTAACTTACCTATGCACAGCCTTAATTACTTGAAGTATTCCAGCTCTGATCTTTCCATTTGTCCTTCTGCCTTCTCAGCAAGTGTTTTGGGATACCAGAGGCACTCCTTGTGTTAGTCCTGCCTCTTGATGGCAGCATAAATGGTGACAATAAAAATTCTAAGTCCTTGTGTTTAGGGGAGTAGTTCTAGGACACCAAAGGCTTTCTTTATAACAGCAGATACCTCAGAGGAAAAGATGCATTTTATAAATGCCTTAACATTATCACTCACTGTAGGAAACTGGCTGGCCCAGGTATGAGCTATGAGAACTCCTTTTTACCCCAGTTGCTTCAAGGTGGAATAGAAGTTATGGAAAAGCTGGCTTCATAGACCTGTTTCTTTAACCAAGCCTTTTCCACATATGGACGTCCAAGGACCGGGATGCTCCCTTAACTAGGGGTGAAAAGGTGGGTCCTTTTGTCCACCTTATTGCTGAAAGCTTTGTCTCCCCCTGATGGCACAAACATATATTCACACCCCATCTCTTCTCAGAAAGGTCCATGAAACTCTACCACATACCTCACTGTTAACAAATCTACTAATCTTGTTCTGAGATCCTGAGCAACCCACCCCTCAACCCTGTATCACTGCTCATGAATTACTATAGATCAAAAGCTTAGAGTTTCCCTCTTTCTACCAAAAAGATTTTCTTACTCACTGTCTAATTTCAGGGCCACCTCTAAATTAGGCTATCAGAACTCTTGGCTGGTGCTCACATATCATGTAAACCACTTTACCATGTAAAGTACCATGTAAAGCCTTGTTTTTCCCTCATTTGTTAGCTAACCATAGGAATTGATACCATTAGTGATACCATCAATATGTGACAAAGGAGAGGCAATAAAGCAAGTAACATAGGCACCTGAGCCACTTGTTCATGCAGTTCATTTCTGCTTTCTATGCCTAGTAAGTCTCAGTTCTGAACATACCATTTCCGCTTAACATTAGGGTGCTTTTTCATAAGGGTCAGATAATACCCAATTGATGATAGGAAATTCAAATCTTATTAATTCAATTTTTAAATTATTATTACTAGTAATTCTAATATATAAAGTCTTTGAAAGGCTGAATCTCTGGTCTATGGTTTCTGCTGATTTAAATTCATGGTGACTTATTTCCTTGTGTGTTTTACAATTTGGGGGGCTTCCCTTGTGGCTCAGCAGGTAAAGAACTACCTTCAGTGCAGGAGACCTAGGTTTGATCCCTGGGTTGGGAAGATCTCCTGGAGAAGGGAATGGCTGCCCCCTCCAGTATTCTGGCCTGGAGAATTCCATGGACAGTATAGTCCATGGGGTCGCAAAGAGTTGGATACGACTGAGCGACTTTTACTTTCCTTTCCTTTTTACAATTTAGGGCTCTAATCTTTGCATTTTCCTTTATCTGAGTAAATTAGTTGAATAGTGATCTAAAAGACTTCCCAGGTGTTTCAGTGGTTAAAAAAGAAAAAAATCCACCTGCCAATGCAAGAGCCACAGGAGACATGGATTCAACCCTTGGATTGGGAAGATCCCCCAGAGAAGGAAATGGCAATCCAGAAAAGGAAAGATATCTTACCATGCAAAATTTAATCTCTCACTATGTTTTCCAACCCACTCCAGTATTCTTGCCTGGAGAATCCCATGGAAGGAGGAGCCTGGTGGGCTATAGTCCACGAGGTCACAAAGAGTCAGACATGACTGAGCAATTTCACTTTCACTTTCATGTTTTCCAATGGATGAGAAACACACAAGAGTGGCAGGTGCATGAATTTTAATAAAGGAGTATTGGCAGCAGGTTGAGGATAGTGACCACTACCTCTCAAGATACTTTTGGCCAGCGATTCTCTCGGCTCCAGTCATTTTTCCCCTCTTTGCCAGAAATGTCTATCCTTACATAGGAAGGGAGGCAGCAGGGTTGATAATTTCTGCAATAGAGGTAGGGCTCTTCAGACTGTCTGCAAGCAGGTCTACAGATTCCCAAGTCACCCATGCATCGAAGCACATGACGTCTGCCTGGCCAAAAAAGAAAAAAAAAATACAGATAGTTAATTTCTATTTAGCAGTAACAAATATGACAAGTCAGGGAGCATAGTAAAAGCATAAAGAGCTAAAACAATAATAAGTACCATTTCACACCTGTTAAAGTGACCTAAACTGAGACTACTGAAAACAGTAAATGCTAGCTAGGAAGTGGAGCAATAGGAAGTCTCACTCATTGATGGTGAGAAAGAAAAATGGTATAGTTATTTTGGAAGACAGCTTGGTGGTTTCTTACAAAACTAAGCATATTCTTACCCATGTGATCCTACAATTGCACTCCTTGTTCTGTACCCAAAGGACTTGAAACTTTATGTCCAGACAAAAATCTGCACACAGCTTTATTCATAAATGACAACATTTGGAGGCAACCAAGATGCCCTTCAGTAGGTAAGAAGATAAATAAACTAAGACACATCCAGAAAATGGGATATTATTCAGCTCTTAAAAAAAAAAAAGAGCTATCAAGCTATAAATAGACACAGAGGAAGCTTAAATGCACGTCGCTAAGTAGAAGAACCTGAACCAAGAAGCCTACCTACTGCATAATTCCAGCTATGTGACTTTCTCAAAAAGGATACAATAAAAAGATCATTGGTTGCCAGGGGTTGGAATGGGGGAAGAGATGAGTACGTAGGGCACAGATGATGTGGGGAGTGGTAGTGAAGATAGTCTATGTGATACTATAATAGCGGATTCACGTCAATATACATTTGTCCAAATCCATAGAATGTACAACGCCAAGAGTGAATCTTCATGTGAAACTATGGACTTGGGGTGATTATGATGGGTTAATGTAGATATGTCAATTGTAATAAATGCACAATTCTGGTGGCAGATGTTAAAATAGAGGAGCCTTGAATGGGTAGGGGCAGACAGCGTATAGGAAATCTCTGTCCCTTCTCAATTTTGCTGTGAACCTAAAACTTGCTTAAAAACATAAAACCTGTTTTAGTGAATACCTTAAAATAAATAAAGCTGCTATTAACACTTGTCTATAGGTTTTTGGAACTACATTTTCATTTCTCTGGAATATATGCCCAAGAGTGCATTTGCTGGGTGGTATAGTCATTATATATTTAGTTTAGTTAAAAAAAAAAACTGCCTAACTATTTTCTAAAGTGTGGTTGTACCATTTAACATTCACTCAAGCGATGTATAAAAGAATCAGTTTCTCTGCATCATGGCTGGCATTTGGTATTGTCACTATTTTTAATTTTAACTGTTCTAATAGATATGTAAGGAATCCCATTGTGGTCTTAATTGGCATTTTTCTAATTGCTAGTGATGCTGAGCACCATTTCATATGCTCCTTTGCCATCCGTATACCCTCTTCAGTGAAATATCTTTTCACGTTTTTCTTCCAGTTGGATTGTGTACTTTTTTCTGTTGAGTTTTGAGAGTTGTTTCTATATTCTAGATACAAGTTATTTGTCACATATATGGTTTGCAAATATTTCACCCAATTTTTTCTTCCAATTTTTAATTTGTCTTTTCATCTATCCTTTCACAGGATCTCACAGAGTGAAAGTTTTAAATTTTGATTAAATCTAATTTATGTTTTTTTTTTCCTTTTACGGATTATGCTCTTCATCTCTTAAGAACTCTTCACTTAGCCCTAGGTCTGAACATTTTTCCTGTGTTTTCTTCCAGAAGTTTACATTTTACTTCTAAATCAATGATACACTTTGGGTTAATTTTTGTGTAAGTTGTTAGGTTTAGGTTGAGAACCTTTTTTCTCTGCCTACAGACTTCCAATTGCTCCAGCAATATTTGTTGAAAAAGATATTTTCTTCTATTGAATTACTTTTGCACATTTGTGAAATATCAGTTGATGCACTTGTGTAGGACTATTTCTATTCAATTGAACTGTGCGTCTATCCCTCCACCATGACCACACAATCTTGGTTACTTTAGCTATGTAAGTCTTGATATCTGGTAGAATAATTTCTCCACATTTGTTCTTTGTTTTAGCTATTCTCATTCCTTTGCAAATTTCTCTACAGATGAAATATAGAGCAGATAATCTTATCTATATCCACAATAAACCTTACTGGGATTTTGATAGAAATTGTGTTAAACGTATCTATAAATTTAAGGAGAATTTACATCTTTCCTAGCTGAATCTTACACTCTATAATCACAGTGTGTCTTCATTTATTTATATCTTCTTCAATTTTTTATCTACAGTCTGTAATTTTCAGCCTACAATTTCTGTACATGTTTTATTAGATATTCACTTAAGCGTTTTATTTTTTGGAATGATTGTGACCGATGTGTTTTTAATTTCTGTGTTTTTATGATCTGTGATAGGACATAGCAATATAACTAATTTTTAAAATTTATTTATTTTTAATTGGAGAATAATTTCTTTACAATGTTGTGTTCATTTCTGCCATACATCACCAGGAATCAGCCATAGGTATACACGTGTCCGCTCCCTCTAGAACTTCCCTCCCACCTCCCACACCATCCCACTCCTCTCGGTTGTCTCAGAGCAGCATGCTAAGCTCCCTGTGCTATTCAGCAACTTCTCATCAGCTATCTATTTCACAAATGCAGGCATGGATGCTAAGTCGCTTCAGTCATGTCTTACTCTTTGCAACTCTACCGACTGTAGCCTGCCAGGCTCCTCTGTCCATGGGATTCTCTAGGCAAGAATACTGGAGTGGGTTGCCGTACCCTTCTCCAGGGGATCTTCCCAACCCAGGGATCGAACTCTCATCTCTTACATCTTCTGCATTGGCAGGTAGATTCTTTTCCACTAGCGCCACCTGGAAAGCCCATTTTACAAATGATAATGTATATAATATTTTACAAATGGTAATGTATATATTTACAAATGGTAATGTATATATTACAAATGGTAATGTATATATTACAAATGGTAATGTATATAAAAATGAAGATTAATCCTTTGTTGGTTGCTTCATTTGCAATTACTTTCTCTCATTCTGAGGGTTGTCTTTTCATCTTGTTCAGTTTCCTTGCTGTGCAAAAGCTTTTAAGTTTAATTAGATTCCATTTATGGGCTCCCCTGGTGGCTCATATGGTAAAGAATGGACACTCCTTCAGTTTGTCCCACCCTCTCCTTCCCTCACTGTGTCCATAAGTCTGTTCTCCATGTCTGAGTCTCTATTCCTGCCTTGCAAAAAAGTTCATCACTACCATTTTTCTAGATTCCATATATATGCGTTAATATACAATATTTGTTTTCTCTTTCTGACCCACTTCTCTCCATATAACAGGCTCTAGGTTCATCCACCTCACTGGAACTGACTCAAATTTGTTCTGTTTTATGGCTAATACTCCATTGTATATGTGTACTACAACTTCTTTATCCTTTCATCTGTCGATGGACATCTAGTTTGCTTCCATGTCCTGGCTATTGTAAATAGTGTTGCAATGAACATTTGAATACATATGTCTTTTTATTTTTTTTAATTTATTTTTATTAGTTGGAGGCTAATTACTTTACAATATTGTAGTGGTTTCTGCCATATGACCCAGCAATGCCACTTCTGGGCATACACACTGAGGAAAACAGATCTGAAAGAGACACGTGCACCCCAATGTTCATCGCAGCACTGTTCATAACAGCCAAGACATGGAAGCAACCTAGATGCCCCTCAGCAGACTAATGGATAAGGAAGCTGTGGTACATATACACCATGGAATATTACTCAGCCATTAAAAAGAATTCATTCGAATCAGTTCTAATGAGATGGTGAAACTGGAGCCCATTATACAGAGTGAAGCAAGCCAGAAAGATAAAGACCAATACAGCATACTAACGCATATATATGGAATTTAGAAAGATGGTAACGTTAACCCTATATGCAAAACATATATCTTTTTAAATTGTGGCTTTCTCAGCTGGGTCATATGGTAGTTTTATTCCTAGATTTTTAGGAATCTTCATACTGTTCTCCATAGTGGCTGATCAATTTACATTCCCATCAACAGTGCAGGAGGGTTCCCTTTTCTCCATATCCTCTCCAGCATGTATTTTTTGTAGAATTTTTTATGATGACCATTCTGATGGGTGTGAGGTGATACTTCACTGTAGTTTTGCTTTGCATTTCTCTGATAATAAGCAATATTAAGCAGTTTTTTTTCATGTGTTTATTAGCCATATGGATGTCTTCTTTAGAGAAATGTCTGTTTAGGTCTTCTGCTCATTTTTTGATTGGGTTGTTTGTTTTTCTGATGTTGAGCTGCATGAGCTGCTTATATATTTTGAAGATTAATCCTTTGTCAGTTGCTTCATTTGCAATTATTGCCTCTCATTGTGAGGGTTGTCTTTTCATCTTGTTCAGTTTCCTTGCTGTGCAAAAGCTTTTAAGTTTAATTTGGTTCCATTTATGGGCTTCCCTGGTGGTTCATATGGTAAATAATCCACCTGTAATGCAGGAAACCCCAGTTCGACCCCTGGGTTGGGAAGATCCTCTGGAGAAGAGAATGGCTACTTACTCTAGTATTCTTGCCTAGAGAATCCCATGAACAGAGGAACCTGGCGGGGTATAGCCTATGGGGTCACAAAGAGTTGGACATGACTGAGCAATTAACACTTTCACTTTCAGGTTCCATTTGTCTATTTTTGCTTTTATTTTCATTACTCTGGGAGGTGGAAATTGAAGAAAGTGGAGAAAACCACTAGACCATTCAGGTATGACCTAAATCAAATCCCTTATGACTATACAGTGGAAGTGAGAAATAGATTTAAGCTCTTTTCCGCATTGTATGGTCTTGTCTCATTTGTCAAAGATAAGGTGCCCAGAAGTGTGTGGTTTTATCTCTGGGCTTTCTATCTTGTTCCATTGGTCTATATTTTTGTTTTTGTGCCAGTACATACTGTCTTAATGACTGTAACTTTGTAGCATAGTGTGAAACTAGAAAGGTCGATTCTTCCAGCTCCATTTTTCTTTCTCAAGATTGCTTTGGCTATGCGGAGTCTTTTGTGTTTCCATACAAATTGAGAAATTTTTTGTTCTAATTCTGTGAAAGATGCCACTGGTAATTTGATAGGGATTCCACTGAATCTGTAGATTGCTTTAGATAGTATCATCATCAGAAATACAACTAACTTTTGTAAGTTTATCTTGTATCCTGTGACCTAATAAACTTACTCATTGGTTCTAGATTTTTAATAGATTCTCTTGTATTTTCTGCATAAATCTTTATGACACCTGAAAATACAGTTTTATTCCTTCTTTTCTAATCTATATGCCTTTTATTTCCTTTTCTTGTCTTAATGTCTAGAACTCCCCAGAATTAAAAGGAATGAACCATTGACCCATATAATTTGGGTAGATCTCAAGAACATAATGGTGAGTGAAAAAAAAGTCAGTCTCAAAAGATCAAATATGATTCCATTTATATAAGTCTTGCAATGACAAAATTATAGAGATGGGAAACAGATTAGTAGTTATCAGGAATTAGGGGTAGTGACAGAAGGTAAGGGCAGAGATGAGAGTCTGTGCCACTAGAAAGGAATAGTAGGAGGGAGATCTTTTTGGTGACAGAAGAGTTCTGTAATGTTGATCATAATAATAATCACATTGCACTTGTGATAAAATGTCATGGAAGCAGGCACATTCATTGCACCAGTATCACTTATACTGCTGTACAGACTGAGGCTGACTTGAGCTTAAGTTACCCCAGCAGGCCTATGTATCAACCTGAAAAGAGTCCGGGATGGACACCCAGTCTTCCTTGCTTTGGGGCCACAATGCTTCTATAGCTGCCAGGTCAACCCCCCACCCCAGGGGCTGTGCTCTCCCCTGCCAAAGTTTCTACTCTTCCTCTTCATCTATCAGCCTACAAGGAATAAAAAGAAAGATTCAAGTAGGCCTTCCAAAAGCCAAAACAACTCTTTCTGCCATATCCCCAGAGAAGATTCTTTTCCATTTTCCTTGAGAAGAAAGGCCAATGTAGATTTACATCCAAAAGAAGTGTACACAGACGAGTGCATTTGACATGGTAAAGCAAGCAGGCCAGCCTGCTTCAATCTTTCTCCCCTGGAGAAAGGCCATGGCACTCCAGAAAGAAGTTTCAAAGCGCTCAAACTACCCTCAAAGCTTTTTTTTGCGGTCTTTGCACCCCCTAGCACCTGCACTCCTACTAGCCCCCATCACTGTGTCCCACCGCTCACTTATCACCATGGCAACCTAACATCACCTTCAATGTTCCCGCAGCCCTCTCACCAGCAGCCAGAGAAAATCTGCTTATTTACCCCAGTATTGTCTTGGACCCACTTCTGAAAATGGATCACTTTTCCTCCTTGGGCCTCAGTTTCCCAATCTGTGAAATGGGAAGACAGAAGAAAGTTGCCTAGATCAGAGATTCTCACAGTTTGGGGGCTATCTGGAATAGAGAACGTTTGACAGGGAGTTGTGGAGTTTGGGGTTTTATTTCCTGAAAGAATAATCTAAGAGAATTTTCAAAATTTCACATGCCCAGACCCCAGAGACTCAAGTCCAGAGATTCAGACAAGGGAGTTATGTGTCTTCTGAAGACTTATGGTGACTCACCAGTGAGTTCCAAGCCCTTCTTTCATCCCAGCATAGTATCACTCCCCATGGCTGCCTCTACCTAAAGTACAGAGGAGGTTCTTAATAAATGCTGTTGACTGAATGAAAAAGCCATGCCTCATAGTGAATTAATTTGGTGAGAGTATGACTGGCTGTGTGTGAAGAAGTTAACACCAGGCCCCAGGTATTGGGGAATCCCTAGACTCTTCCCTTTCACACTGTGAATCCTATGTATTTTAAGAGAAAACTAATGAATAAATTGTAAGAATCCCCTTGAACAAGGCCCCAGAGCTACTCCACAACCTTCCTAATATGCTAGCTGGAGCCAAATTCACCTGAGACAGTGGGACTCTGATCCCTCTAGCCCAGAAAGGATCCCACCCTGAATCATGCTTGATGCAGCAGCTATTTATAAAACTCCCCACACACACCAAATCCACTTGTACTTTCACATATGAATTCATGATTCACCTATTCATTCACCCAGACACACTATGTCAAATCTGACCTAAGTGTTGGGCTTAACAATAGGCATAATGATGTAAATAAGAGTGATCTAAACCCCCAAGGCTTTCCATCTGGTGTGTGTGTGTACTTGGGGATTAGTGAGAAGGGAACAGTGACTGGAATAATTATACAGGAACATGATACGTGCCCTAAGAATGGCTTGTTGTGGGCATCTGAAAACAACATGGGAAGAAAGGACTGTGTTGGTCCCTGCGGCTCTGCAGATACCTACCTCGCAGTTATTTCAGAGGAGTGACAGTTTGCTTCAAACTTTGTGATTTAAGAGTTTGTCAAGTAGTTATTCTTTCAAATAAAAGCAACAGATATAAAGTTAAAAAGTAAAAAAAGACGAACACTTTGTGAAGCCAGTCAGAACTCAGTTTGAACACCTCCTCTATCTTAATGTTGTGCAAACTTGGCTAATTATATCACCTCCCTAGACCTCAGTTTCTGCATCGGTAAGATAGGGATAATTAAGAGGGTTGTGTCAGAATAGGATGATTTCACATCTATAAGCACCCATCACTGTGCCTGGCACATAAGAAGTGTCAATGACAACTATTTTATAGCGACTGTTATTATAATCATTAAGAAACAGTGAGACACACGCGAAGAGTTGACTCATTGGAAAAGACCCTGATGCTGGGAGGGATTGGAGGCAGGAGGAGAAGGGGACAACAGAGGATGAGATGGATGGATGGCATCACCGACTTGATGGACATGAGTGAGTAGACTCCGGGAGTTGGTGATGGACAGGGAGGCCTGGTGTGCTGTGATTCATGGGGTCGCAAAGAGTCAGACATGACTGAGTGACTGAAGTGAACTGAACTGAACTGAGACAGAGCTCCTTGCAGGCTTTTAATGGTAGGGGCATTAGTTGGGCTTTGAAGGATGAGGAGTTCATCACAGAGATGAGCCTAGTGATGGGGACAAGCTGAAGGGGAATCATGGACCAAGGCAGCAGGAGGGGGAGGGGAGGATGGTAAGAGCTGAAAGAGAAAGTCTGTGAGCACCAGCCATGGGAAATGAAGCTGAGCTATCATTTCAATGAGTAAATTCATGTGCTTTATCCTTCTTTAGTACTCGGAAACATTCTGATTCTTTGGGCTGTGGTCTCTTGAGCATCAAAAGGCATGTCAGTCAGCTTCCCTAGAAATCCAAGGATTTGGGCTCAGCTATGTCCCTGTCCACACCAACTCATTCACTCCAAAACAAGGCCAACTGTCTCAGCCTAAAGATGCTCCCACTCACTAGGGAGCAACTATGTTTTTCAGTCTCTTGGCTTCCCATGCATGCTCTTCAGCCCATTCCAGCTCCAATAATCTTCCCTGCAGCTGGCAGATGAGGAATTATGTTCAGGACTGCAATAATTACCCAACTGCTGTAGCCAAGCCCCAGAGACATCTCTCTGCTAACTCTTAACACCCTTCCTGCCATTTCCCCACCCTCAATCCATTTGGAGTATCATTCCTTATGATTGAAAGACACAAGAAACAGATTTGCAAGTTTTAATGGAATGTAGGAACTAAAGAACAGGAAACAAAGTCATTTCTATCCATGATTTCCATGTATCTTCCCTGTATTGACAAGTTTGGCCTTAACTCTCTGTTTCTTGTTTCACTTGTGGAGTGGTCCAAGGGAGCATTCGATCAATTGTCATTGGTACGATTGTCAAATAACGACTAAGGATACAGCACCGTTTACGATTTGAGCAGCGTGTGACACTGTCTTCATCATTTTTGCACACCAACCGGCATTTTCCCTTCATCCAACATTCTTCCTCTGGACATAGGAACAACCATTAAGTAGATGTTAGTATTCCTTGGCTGGATAGACACGGGGAAGCAGAGGAGCTACAGGAGTTCAGGGGAGGAGTGGAGGGAGAGAGTTAATGCTAGACTCAGTCCCAGGAAAGGAGAGAAGAGATCTCACAAGGGGAGAGAATTGAAACAATTTTTCCAAGGTTGGGAACTCAAGGGTTTTAAGAAAGCCTTTTTCATAATCTCACATTTCTGTCTTCCTATCCCCCCACCTCCTGTTCCTAACTTTGAGATCAAATGATGCCAATGAAGTTCCCACCTAACAGAGCTTGGGAATAATGGGAAAAGGACAATTAACATCTGTCTTATTAGGGAATGGAGGAGATTCCCTCACATTTCCACAGACTCAGCTCTTTATCACTTGTCTAGCTTGAACCCAACAAATCCCAACACCAACCCAACTCAACCTCCAATCCTCCTTGACCCCATATTCACCCAATTCAAACTCAAATACCCAGACCAGTTTTAATTAGAACTCCCAGCCTTACCCAACTCAATGCCCCTGGAGCCCTAACTCCCAGTCAAACCCAAGTCTAATCAAGTCACCAACTTCAATCCTAAGAAGCATTCCATCACCTAGCTGAACCTCAGACACCTGGGCACCATCCAGCACAAACTCTCAACCTCAGTCCAAGCCCAATCTAATTCCCAACACCAAATCCACTCAACCCAAAATTCCATACCCTCTCCAGCCTACTCCAAACCATCAAGGAAGCCCAACTCCTCGCCTCTGGCTCTTCCTCATTTTCCTGCTATCACTCCAATCCAAAGTCTTGCCACCCCATCACAACTCACCCCCAACCTTCAATGTAATCCCCCAAGCCCCCAAGAAGTCCCCTACCCACATTAAACCCTTTCCCCTAGGCCCTCCTCCATAATGCCAGCAGAATACCAGACTTCCCTTCAGTGTTAGGTACTCCAAATATCTCCATCCCCCTACCTTGGCAAAAAAAAAGAATCAGGGAGAGATGTGAACATGAGATGATTATAAGAAAACCTCCCAAAACCACATGAATTGAGAAAGGGCTTCAGATACTGCCCACAGTGAAGGGGAAGTAGAGGGAGAGACATTTATGACCAAGATCCCAGACATTTGAGACACCCAAATTACCTGATACCACTGGTCCCATGGCCAGAAGGATGGCAAGAAACAGGAAAATAAACTTCATGACTGGAAGGTCACAGGAGAAGGACGTGGTTGTGCTGCAGGCTATGGAGAATAGAGCTATCCTCTGCAGGGATGAGTCTTGTTTTTATTGGCAGGACTGTGGGCAGTGAATTACAGCAGAAGAGGATTTATATCAGATCAAACAAGCTGAAGGACAATGTGTAGCAGATTCTGCAGCAAAGCACGAGATGAGAGGGTGGGAAACTGGCCAGCATCCTTGCCAAAAGGGCTTTTCTCTCCTAGTAAGGAGACAGGCAAATTAAAGCCGTCTGGCCTTTTGAGATCCACAATAGGATTAATCAATTAATGCATATCAAGACACATTTAGTTTTTTTCTTTTTTTAATTAAATTTATTTTCTTTTAATTGAAGGATAATTTCTTTACAGTATCATGTTGGTTTCTGCCAAATATCAACATGAATCAGCCATAGGTATACATGTGTCCCCTTCCTCTTGAGCATCCCTCCCACCTCCCTCCCCACCCCACCCTTCTAGGTTGTTATAGAGCCCCAATTTGAGTTCCCTGAGCCATACAGCAAATTCCTATTGGCTATCTCTTTTACATATGTAATGTATGTTTCCACGTTACTCTCTTCATGCATCCCACACTCTCCTTACTCCCCACCCCCTGCCCTGTGTCCATAAGCCAAAATACTTAATTTTTTAAAAATTCTTATTCTCAACTTTCTAACAGAAAAATACACACGTGTATGTCTTTCTGAACCTTGAACTTGACAATCTCATTCTCAGCTCAGACCCTTAGCATTTGTAACTTGCTCTTACTATAAAGTTCTTCCTTCAGCCTGGCTCCTGTTCACCATTCAGTCTCATCTTAAATGTCACTTCTTGGAGAAGCTTTTCCTGGTCACCTTAGATTAAGGGTACTCCCACACACAGCCACTCTGTATCATAATAGTTTTTTTTTTGTGACCTTCATATAGTTACTTGTTCCTTTTCCATTTATTCTGCATGTTTAATCTTTGCCTCTCCCATTAGAATGCCATAAATTTGCTTTGTGACTGCAGTGCCCATAATAATATCACCTGGTGTATTAATCAGGATATTAATTCAACTGTTTTAACAGATGTTCTCCCCAAACAGTAATTCGAAGAGACAGACATTGTTTTCTGTCTTACGTAAAAGAAATTTCTTTCTTACGTAAAAAGCTTCATCATTAAAAGCAAGGGCTTCCTTGGCAGCTCAATTGGTAAAGAGCCAGGTTGCAATGCAGGAGACCTGGGTTCAATCCCTGGGTCGGGAAGATCCCCTGGGGAAGGAAATGGCAACACACTCTAGTATTCTTGCCTGGGAAATCCTGTGGACAAAGGAGCCTGGTGGGCTACAGTCCAAGGGGTCACAGAGAGTTGGACACGAATTAGTGACTAAACCATAAACCATACCATTAAAAGCAGGGCACACGATTCCTTCTGATTTGATTCTGTGCCATTCTTATCAGGCAGCTTCATCTGATGCTCTGGTTCCCACCACGAGGCCCCAGTGGGTCATCAGGAAGAAGAGAAAGGAGGAAATGAAGTGCACTATTTTTCCTTTAAGGACCCCATCCAGAATCTGCACACATCACTTCCATTCCAGTCCATTGGCCAGAGCTCATTCAAACAGACATACCTAGCTGGAAGGTAGGCTGGAAATAATGTCTTTATTCTGGGCAACCGTGCTAGCTGAAGTTCAGGGGTTGTCTTACTAAGAAGAAGGGGAAGACAGATACTAGGGAAGAGCTAGCAATTTCTGACACGCTTGGCACATTGCACGAGCTTCAAAAATGTTTGTAGACTGAATAAATATCATACACATTGAATAAGGTTATAAGAAATAACCTAAAGGGGAAGCAATTCAAGTCACTCTAGAGTGTAGAGGAAGCATGTGGACTGTGCCCCTTCAGTCAAGCTTCAGAAGAAACTGAATAAGGGCTGGACCCTTTAAGAGACTGTACCTTACTATATATAAACTGGATAACTAATAAAAGCCTACTGCATAGCACAGGCAACTCTACTAAATATTCCATAATGACCTATATGTGGATAAAATCTAAAAAAGAGTGGATACTTATATATGTATAACTGCTTCACATAAAAGGTGTGAGAGAAGAACACCACTGAAAGTCGGAACCCTCAGAGAAGACACTCTCTCCCAAGCTTGGGAGTGGCCACAATAACCAACTAATTGGCACTGACCCTCTGCTAGGATGGGCTTCCCTGGTAGCTCAGACAGTAAAGAATCCACCTGCAACATGGGAGACCTGGGTTCAGTCCCTGGGTTGGGAAGATCCCCTGGAGAAGGGAATGGCTACCCACTCCAGGATTCTGACCTGGAGAATTCCACGGACTGTATAGTCCATGGGGTCACAAAGAGTCGGGTACAACTGAGTAACTTTAACTTTCACTCTGCTAGGTTGGTGACAAGTATTTCACAAGTATAGTCTCACTTCATCCTCACAAAACCACAAGAGTTCCTGCCTCATTGTTCTAGTTGAACACTAAAGTACAGAAGCACAAGCAATTTGCCCAACCCTGACCAAATGGGGAATTCAGGATTTGAACTCAGGTCTGACTGGCTCCCAGTTATGGTACTTCTATCCACATCCTGGTCTCCCATTGTTTCTTCAGACTTGGAATAGCAAGGGTCCCTTCTAAGTGAGGAAGCCAGTCAAAAGGAAACCTCTAGTGATTCTTGCCTAGAAAAATTTGAAGAGCCTCTGCAGAAAGTAGGCAGAGGCAAGATCAGAGAAATGAGGGTCACTTGTTTGTGACCCTCCTTATTTTATAACAGGTTTATTGAAGTATAATTTACATGCCATAAAATCCACTCATTAAGTGTACAATGCAATGAATTATACAGAGTTGTATCATTGTCATTATAGTCGAATCTTGAATTTTCCATCACCCCAAAAATATCTCTCACACCCATTTGTAGTTACTACCCTTTCCCACCCCCAGCCATGATGGAACCACTGTTTATAATACCATCAACTATGTATTAAATATCATCTGGGGTTAATCCTCACAAGGGGAAGATATGTGTGACTATGGAGGAAGCCATGGCTCGGGATATAAAATGAATAAACCAGGGCCACTGAGGTGGTCAGGATTCAAACTCAGAACTTTCTCCAAAAGGGTCCAGATCAAGGGGAAGATCCTGAAGAAATGTACTTGTAAAGAGTGGGAAATGTATCATTTTTTAAGCTGAGGTGAAATACATTGTATAACAAGAGATATTGAAAATACAAAAGAAGACAGGGTTTCTGGTGGAGAAAAATTCTAGACAAGCCAAAGGGAATAGAGTCAAAGAAATAGATAAAAACACTGGACCTTAACAGAGGAAGACTTCTTTTGAGAGAAAGGGGGTTTACAGAATGACTTCATAGCATTGCCCTTAAAACCTGAAACCTTAACCAACAAAGACCTACTATATAGTACAGGGAATTCTACTCAATATTCTAACCTATATGAGAAAAATTCTGAAAAAGGATAAATACATGTATACATATAACTGAATCACTTTGCTGTATATCTGAAACCACATAACATTGTAAATCAACTATACTCTGATAAAATTTTTTTTAAGTACAAAAAAAAAAACCTGAAACTTTTTTTTTCTTTTTTTTTTTCATTTATTTTTATTAGTTGGTGGCTAATTACTTCACAACATTGCAGTGGGTTTTGTCATACATTGACATGAGTCAGCCATGGAGTTACATGTATTCCCCATCCCGATCCCCCCTCCCACCTCCCTCTCCACCCGATTCCTCTGGGTCTTCCCAGTGCACCAGGCCCGAGCACTTGTCTCATGCATCCAACCTGGGCTGGTGATCTGTTTCACTATAGATAATATACATGCTGTTCTCTCGAAACATTCCACCCTCGCCTTCTCCCACAGAGTCCAAAAGTCTGTTCTGTACATCTGTGTCTCTTTTTCTGTTTTGCATATAGGATTATCATTACCAACTTTCTAAATTCCATATATATGTGTTAGTATGCTGTAATGTTCTTTATCTTTCTGGCTTACTTCACTCTGTATAATGGGTTCCAGTTTCATCCATCTCATTAGAACTGATTCAAATGAATTCTTTTTAATGGCTGAGTAATATCCATGGTGCATATGTACCACAGCTTCCTTACCCATTCGTCTGCTGATGGGCATCTAGGTTGCTTCCATGTCCTGGCTATTATAAACAGTGCTGCGATGAACATTGGGGTGCATGTGTCTCTTTTCAGATCTGGTTTCCTCAGTGTGTATGCCCAGAAGAGGTATTGCTGGGTCATATGGCAGTTCTATTTCCAGTTTTTAAAGAAATCTCCACACTGTTCTCCATAGTGGCTGTACTAGCTTGCATTCCCACCAACAGTCTAAGAGTGTTCCCTTTTCTCCACACCCTCTCCAGCATTTATTGCTTGTAGACTTTTGGATAGCAGCCATCCTGACTGGTGTGTAATGGTACCTCATTGTGGTTTTGATTTGCATTTCTCTGATAATGAATGATGTTGAGCATCTTTTCATGTGTTTGTTAGCCATCTGTATGTCTTCTTTGGAGAAATGTCTGTTTAGTTCTTTGGCCCATTTTTTGATTGGGTCATTTATTTTTCTGGAATTGAGCTTCAGGAGTTGCTTGTATATTTTTGAGATTAATCCTTTGTCTGTTGCTTCGTTTGCTATTATTTTCTCCCAATCTGAGGGCTGTCTTTTCACCTTGCTTATAGTTTCCTTTGTTGTGCAAAAGCTTTTAAGTTTCATTAGGTCCCATTTGTTTATTTTTGCTTTTATTTCCAATATTCTGGGAGGTGGGTCATAGAGGATCCTGCTGTGATTCATGTCGGAGAGTGTTTTGCCTATGTTCTCCTCTAGGAGTTTTATAGTTTCTCGTCTTACATTTAGATCTTTAATCCATTTTGAGTTTATTTTTGTGTATGGTGTTAGAAAGTGTTCTAGTTTCATTCTTTTACAAGTGGTTGACCAGTTTTCCCAGCACCACTTGTTAAAGAGGTT